CGAAAAGTCTCAATAAAGACTGCAGGAAGACTGTTTTGAAATTCCGAAAGTTCTGGGACTCAACTTTCTCGAAACCCCTTCAAAGAATTGGTCGCACAAAAGGTTGAAAGCCTCTCTCGAATCGGGGATGAACATGCGGTTTTCGCAATGATTCTTCATCACTTATCTAGTGATGGGAATGGCAAGATGGCATACGCTTCGATCTTTCCGGCAAACACCCGTGAAATCGAACAGTTTCCACTGAGTTGGAACAAGTTTTTTTCAATTTTGAGACTGGCCTCTCATGCAAAACGATATTGCGCGCAATCAGTTTTTTTGGAGACGTTTAACACGTTAAAGAGGGATCAGTGAAACTGCCTTTTTGCGCGAAGGAGAATTTTTCTACCGATTCACAAAGTTTGGCAACCGGGCGAGCTATCTAATCAGGAATCCTAAGCACGTTACCGATGCCTTATGTCGTTGCGGCTACGGTCAGCCTTCCAAGCTTCCCTTGTATCGGAGAATAGCAGGGCGGCGTTGGAGCCGGCAAGATCTGTGCCAATGCCGATCACCAGCGAGACTTTCCGGGAACGGCTTGGTGATAAGGATGTCGTTGACAGGGAGCCATAGAAGGCAAGAGTCACTGGATCCGTTACGTTCTTCGGGTCAGATGTTGTAAGGTGCGAAGGAACCGTAAACACTTTGTGCCAGGGACGAGTAACAGCGGAAAAGGTCCTATGAAATTCCACAGAATTCAAGAATCTCTGAGGCGGTAACGCTCATCGTGGTAACATTGAAGCCTTGTCACTTTGGTAAGCGATGTAAACTGTGACATCTGTGACAAGGCTCAACTGCAACTGAGAAGGATGCTTGGTGACAGGAACTTATGACACCTGATAAGGGTTGATAATGAACTATAGAAAGCAACAGCCACTGAGTCGGCGGCGCTATACAAGTTGATAGTGAAAGCTAGGCCCCATGGAAAGTTATGTGAGCTTTGTTGGGATTGAGGATGATTGGTAACAAAAAAGCCTACTATAAGCGCTGACAACTGTGACCAGATCACTTCCTCTCCGAGGGTGAAGTGATGCTACCCCAATGTGTGATACAGAGTGTGACTGGGTCGCATATAACGGATTACAGAAATTGATAAGAGGTGATAAATGCTGACAAGGAATGCTATGTTATTCGTTGCTGTCCCTTTGGACATACACGATGTAGTCTTAATCTACTGCTGTGTTTCATAGCATAAGATGGATTGATAATACAAGTTGACAAAAGATGAGGGATATCTGCAGTGGTAAGGGCTTATCATAGTCTTTACTGTATGAAAAGAACGAAAATTGACTCATCAACGCTATCAATTAAACCGACTAGGTCTCATGCTTCATGACACAATGGGAACCACGTATTCTCCTCATTCCGATGTCAGTTGTCAAAAAACTTATTCGTCCAATAATAATATGAGCATCTCCACCAATGATTCACATGCATAAAGGTCATTGCACCACCTGCCTTCCCGTTGATCATTGACTTCCTCGAGCGGGCGCCAGTAACGTCTCCATTCGTCCCTGTCACGAGCGAGAGTGGTCTAATGAATCGCTCCAGGGACACGAGGATTAACATTCCTTTCGTTCAGAGCTTTCGTTAAGAAGTCTGACCATCTAGTTGGCGGCCTTCTGGACTTCGTTTGATGTCCCGAAGGATCCAGTCAGTAGACGCCCTGATCCAACGGTCATCACTATATCGCATGTGTCCGGCTCACCTGATCTTCGATTTCTTGACGTAATCAAGGGCATCCCTTATCTTCGTTCTATGACGGAGCTCGGAACTCAAAAATCCCTTCTGCACTCAACTGTATAGGGATATTCCGAGCATCGCCCTTTCCAAAGGGTGTTGAGTAACGCTGACAGTATGCTCATCCTGCTTTCCTAGAATCCAAGTCCCCGAGGCGTACGTCAGAGCAGGAATGACAGCAGTAACGAGAAGGTGAGCGCGGAGCCAAATGTTCTTTGCCTTCTTCACTACTCCCTCAATATTCCTGAATGTTCCCCACGGGGCGCTTCCCTTCTGCAGAGCTCCGGAACTAAGCCGTTCCGTAATGTTGCCTTTTCGGCCTACGCACACATAGCTAGAGCATCCGGAAATATTTGTTTCGTTCAGCGTGAAGGGGGAATCAGGTACCAATTCGTTTTCCATGAACGTCGTTTTCATTAAGTTCAGTCTCAAGCCGATCTTTCTAAAAACAGTGTCAAACTCGGCCAGCATTCGTTCCGCCGCTCGATGTTCGGTGTTATAAGCACGATGTCGTCTGCAAAGCGGAGGTGATGTAGGTAGTGTTCGTCGACCTTCATTCCCAAGTCTTCGCATTCCAAATGACGCACGATATTCTCGAAAGCGGCGCTGAGAAGCTTGGGCGAAATGATCGCCTTTCCGGACACCTCTCTTCATGTTGATAATGACTTCCTGGTAAAATGGTGAAATCGTGGTCGTGAAATTGTCGTAGAGCTCACGAAACATCCTTATACATATAGCGGTAATCGAAACCTCTTAGCCCAAGCACTCAATTACCGCCTCTGTCTCAGCGGTATCAAAGGCTTTCTTCAAATCGAAGAACATAAGACATAACGGCAGTTTGTACTCATGTGATATTTCAGTGAGTCTTGTGAGAGTGTGGATATGATCGATTGTACTGAACCCCCTCTGAAACCCTGCTTGCTCGTATGGCTATCCTTCATTTAATACCCTGCCAATCATGTTTAAGATGATGCGAGTGAAAAGCTAGTAGATTACAAACAGCAGGCAGATTGGGCCATAATTGTCAATATCATTTGGATCTTCCTTTCTATACAGCAACACAGTCTTGCTAATTTTTCACGACGTGGGCACTTT